AAACTAAACATACAGACATAAACAACTAGACATATTTGCAATAGTTAAAATATGTATCGATTTTTTAATGCATCATAGTATGATATTATCAGAGATGTTGGTCTCGAGACTTAAATCTTTATCCCAAGATGTCTCAAGACTCATTTAACTGTCTTATTCTTGGTATTGAATCAAAATGTCTTGGCCTATACTGTTTTTACGTCTCTAGATATTATCATAGTATAATGCATTATAAAATGCATATATATATATTTATTATTTATATATTTAGTTATATATTATTTATGCATATACTTATTTTAGCTATTACCAGTAGCTTTGGTTACTTTGCATAATTTGCAATAGTATAGGCTATACTATTGCAAAGTAAGCAAAGCTACTGGTAATAGCTTTAATATACAGTATAAAAATAATATATAATTAAATATACTATACTATAGTATAGCAAGTATGTCAAGTAAATTAGTTTGATTTTTAATGTTTATTTGGTTTAGAACAAATAAACTTTTAGTTTTAATGTACATTACTTAGTTTTAATGTACCTTAGATAACTATTAATACACTAGTTATCTAATGTACATTAAAACTAATATAATTATTATTATAAATATATATGCAACCATTCAAGTCAGCATTTAGTTAGCGACTAGATCTAGTAGGGATATTATTATATTTTTTCTTTAGAATTATTAGAATATGTAAATAATGTAATAGTTTGTGTATAAATACTTTTATATTTACTTTATTATTTTATTTAAATTACTACATTATAATCCGACAGGTTTGACTGTCAATATAAATGTTGTTCATCATTTATATTGTTTATAACATTATCAGTTTTTATATGCACTTAATATTTTTTTAAATAGTTCAAAAGCTGTCTAAACAAAATGATGAACTGAGTTTGAATTAACCAGAAAAGATATAAATGTAATCTTTGGAATTCAACTTGTAAGGACATTCCAAGAACAACTTAGTTGGAGAAGAAAAACTATGGTAATGTTTCAAAGCTATCAGAAAGGGAAGTTAATTAATGCACAAGATTTTACTTCACAGTTAAATATAAGCATATAAAAGCAATGTTTATAAATAATACATTATTATTTATTATAATACTATTATTTTTATTTGTTTATATTTAATTAAAAATAAATTAATTTATGCACACACTTTATTATTTATTATGTTTTTACATTACTATACTTAATAAATTACATATTTATTATATTTGTAGTTTTAAATAGTAAAGTAAAAATAAAAGAAGTTTTTGAATTTAATAGTATGTGCATAAGTTCTTTTATTTTAAATTTAACATTTTGTTTAAATTACTGCATTATAAGCAGGTAAGTTTGACTGGCAATATAAATAATGTTGTATATCATGCAGACAGCTCAGACAAAGAAGTAAGTTTTTAATTAAAATTACCAATTATAAGTAATACTATATTTGTTGCTGCCTGTTCTATATAAATGTTACTAACATGCAGGTAACATTTATATATGTGCATAAATCATTTCATTTTAACTTTATCATTTTATTTAAATTACTAAATTATCAGCAGATAGGTTTGATCGGCAATATGAGTTTTTAATTTATTTGCTTAGCCGTACATTACCAAGTTCCGTGTTTTATAATATATATAAAGATGGCAAGAACAGGAAGAAAACAGGTTTTTAATTGATGTTGTACATGATGCAGATAGCTCAGATGAAGAAGTAAGTTTTTTTTTAACTATAAAAATAAATAAGTAATATATGTTGCTGCCTTGTTCTATATAAATGTTACTAACATGCAGGTAACTTATATATATGTATTAGTTTGAATAAATCTTTTTATTTTCATATTTTATCTTTTTATTAAAGTTAAATTATAGACTGGAATTGTGATAGCTTAGGCAAAAAATAGGTAATAATCTTATAATTGTTATTTATAAATAATGATATATTCATTGCTCCTTTTTTTATATGTTACCCAACATTTAGCAACATTTATAAATGTGTATAATGCGTAATTATAAAGTAAGTTATAATAGATAATAATTATAAAATGAATAGTAAATAAAGGAAATTTGTTAGTATGTATATAATAGTTGTATGATGCATTGTCTAGATTGGTGAAATAGATAATAATACTAACTGTGGTGAAAATAACAATGAATATCAAAATGTTAATGGTACTTTGTTTGACGTCTACCTGGTTCTACAGATACAGTTGGCAGTGCAATCGCACTTATAAATGGGCTTGATGTTTTTTTGGATTGAATATGTTGTACTGATGATTTGTTTTTAACTTTATAAAAAGTTTTCCATGAAAACGTGTTCCAAATACCCATGGTTTTTTCATGAATTTTTTTTTTATGTGTTTTCCATGGAAATTTTCCATAAGGGTTAACAAATTATCCAATTTTTCAAAGTTAATTTTATACCACTCATAATTGTTTTTCCACCATTAGGTATTAGCTTTTAGCATGACTTTTAACTCATCTGATAAAATCAGATAGGAGAGAGATCAGGAGATTGGGAAAACTAAATCATCTATTCAATATTTGATCATTCTTGAACTCAGTCAAATAACTTATGATGAATATTTTACTTTTAAATATTTTGAAGAATAGATATTAGATTTAGGCTTCTAAAAAAACAAATGGCTTTCCATTAACCCAGCTGTCAAAAAATATAACATGATTTTTTAAAAGTGTCCAAATAAACTACTTTTGTTATCATTCCCTCTATTTTTACTATGTAGCCTGTGTCATTCCAATTAAAACAGTACGAAACCATAATGCTGCATCCACCATATTTCACAGTTGATACACACTGTTTTATCATACACTTAACAACTTTTTTTCAGAAAAGTAATCTTTTCTTGAAATCAAAGATTTAAAGCTTCGACATATCAGCCCACGTTTACAGTCATCAATGATCCTCTACTATTTTTATTATTTTTATCATAGCATTTTGATCAAAATGCTAAATTAAATTATCTAAAAATGCAAAATAAAAACTTAAAAAATTGCTAAACTAAAACATTTTTTAAAAACGCTTAAGCCATATAAATAATTATGAACGGTAGTATATATATATATATATATATATATATATATATATATATATATATATATATATATATATATATATATATATATATATTATATATATATATATATATATATATATATATATATATATATATATATATTTATACATATATATATGTGTATATATATATATATATATATATATATATATATATATATATATATATATATATATATATGTTGAATTTTTAAATCTTTGATTTCAAGAGAAGATTACTTTTCTGAAAAAAAGTTGTTAAGTGTATGATAAAACAGTGTGTATCAACTGTGAAATATGGTGGATGCAGCATTATGGTTTGGTACTGTTTTGATCGGAATGACACAGGCTACATTGTAATATATATATATATTTATATATATATATATATATATATATATATATATATATATATATATATATATATATATATATATATATATATATATATATATATATATATATATATATATATATGCTATATAAATACTTTAAACAAAGTTTGATAAATATGAAATTGTAAACCAATCAAATTGTAAACCAATCAAATTTAACTGAAACTATTGACTTTTTTTATTTTAGAAAAAAAATTGCCTTAGTACACTTGAGATTGACTAAGGGTTTTGACAAACATTCCTGTTTATTAATTTGTGTCAAATATTCCAGCCAAATAATATAATATTGTAATCAAACAGTAATCAAATAATATAATATGATATTGACAAACATTCCAAACATGTATATATATACAGAGCCAGAACCACCGAGGAGCCAGGGTGCCTAGGCCACCCAAAGAATTAAACTATAATTATTAGAGAAAAACATATATTTTTTAGGGCATTTTTGTTTGGGCCTCTCCCTATCTTTGGGCTCCTAAAATGGGTACTTAAATAAAAAAAAAGGTCTTTTATAAGTAATATGGGCCCCCTAATATGAAAATTGTGATTATGGCTCTGTGGTTAGGGTAGATTAGGGCAATATGAGCAACTTGGTAATACAAGCATACTTTAAGATTTCTTAGATGCAGTAAAGTTGCTTTGTATTTTTTGAATCAACTTTATGTGATGATAACAGTAATCAAAATAATTATGTGTTGATAACAGTAATCAAAATAATTATGTGGTGATAACACGCATCATAATCATCACGCATGATTAAATCTGTGGTGCAAAATTTTGGTGCTAAAATAATGAAATTAATTTTTATATATGTTAGCTAAAAACCCAATTCATTTTTTTTTGAAAAACAATGCATAGAAACATTTAGTTTTGACTTTATTAAAGATTCCATTTTTGTGTAATATGACACGGCTGTTTCACTCTTTATAAAAGTGAGCATGACGTCATGAGTTTATCAAAAAAAAAAGTATTTCCGCATAAAAAGTATAAAAATTCACTAACTTTAAAATAATAGTATTTTTTTTCTATAAATGCTTTCATCTTTGAATAAAAAATAAATAAAAGATCTATCTTTCCTTGTTAAAAAAATATTTACATTAAACGGACTATAATAAAATATTATTAAAATATTGAAATTGATTTGGGATCACTTTTCTGTTTTTTGAGATTTTTAATGAAAACCTGTCTTGGGCCAACAAAGATTAGCTGACATAGCTAGATACTTAACGGTTGAAATTTAGAGCACTTATTAATGAGTGTCTATTTTATCATATTCTAACGTTACTGGTGTGTATTTGTCAAAAAAAAAATTTTTTTATTGCATTTATATATTTAATTTTATTATTTTCAAATGTAAAATTTAACATTTTTGATCAGTAACATAAGTTATTGAAATTTTAACCTTTTATGCATATAAAAATAAAAAACCTATTTTCTGTACCTCTAGCTATGTCAGTTATTATCTTTTCAAACTTAGCATGTTTAGCAACAAATATTTTCAGTTTTCGCGTAAATTTTTATAAACATTTAAAAGCGATGACGTAACCTTAAATGCGTTACATCCCAAGCAATTATCTTAGCAATTTCAACTGAACTACTGTTTTGGCGAGACAAATTTTTAAGTATAAAATAAACAAAGTTTGGCGGAATATTCTCGACTCGTGGAGAATTCGACTGTTATCAGATAAGTTTGTTAATCCTATTATATCTATTGCATCTATTTGTCAAATAATAATTTTAATTAAGTTGTTTGTATTGTATTTGTATTGTAACGTCAGTGTTTGTTTTATAACTATGTATTCTGCAGAGAGAAAAGTTTTGCAACTATATATTGAATGGGAAGATTGTTGGAAAGATGAATGTAACTTTCCTTTAGTTAAGCGAATAATTAGCAGTGATAAAATCACTAACAAAGTAATTTCAATTTTAATGTCAGTTTTTCAATTAAGAAAAGATTTATATAGTTTTATGAGCTATATCTTGCCAATAGATTTCATTTTGCCTAGCAATGAGGAATTTGACCTGATGTGCAGAAAGTTAGTACGCCAAAAAATTCATTATAAAAATAATTCTTTAAAAAATGAACCATTTTTTAATATGCAACTGTCGCAAGCTCCATGTAGAAAAAAAAAAAAAATTCAGCAGATGCAGAGGAATTTTTTATTTTAAATAAGAATAAGGAGCTACTGAGTCAAGTTGACAAGTTAACTTCTGAAAATAAAACAAATATGGAGCAAATAGAGATATTAAAAACTCAGTTATTTAAGTTGGAAGCTGAAATTACAGATTTAAGTTCGAAAAACAAGGCTTTTAACACACATTGTAACTCATTAAGTTCTCAATTAAAGACTATGAGTATTAGGCTAAAACAGGAGGAGCAGTTCCAACTTATTTAAAAAAAAAAAATCAAAACAGCACAACGTAAATTTGCATCTGCTCGTGCTAAAAATGTCAGTTTGCTAAAAAAAATTAAACTTGAAAAAAATAATGCAAAAATTTGTGATATAAACCAGAATAGTTGCCAGATTTGCAAACGTTTTTTAAGTGGTGATAAGGATTTAGTTGTTGTGGATTCTTATTTAGACTATGACAACATTGGTTCTTCTGAATTGTTCTGTGGATTTAAGTTGAGTAATTCACAGACTATATTAGTTGAAAGGCCCATAGTTGGTAAAAAATATACTTATATTAAGTTAGGTCATGGTAAACCTTATTCTAAGTTAAGTAGACATTCTGCAGCTAGAGGATCTAAACTTGCTTTTATATTTCTTCGATTATTAGCTTATTCAGATTTAGAAAGTGATTTGTCTATATTGTTTTGTGATTCTATGTTTTGTGAAAAGTCAATAAAATGTTATGTAGCAAACAAGTTAGGTTTAGTTAGGCAATTAAGTGTTTCTGATACTGTAGAGCTGCAGAGCCAATTAAGGATGCCCACAGCTGAATTCCGTAGGTTAAGATGTATTCTGTGTAATCTTGGTGCAAGGATTCTTGCCTCTGAGCCCAAGATAAGACAAGAACAAGAAATGCGGACAATGCATGTCAATAAAGAACATGTCACTGTGAAGTCCATGTTACTTTATCCATCTGCGAATGAAGCACCTTGTTTAGTATCTGTACTGATGGTCAAGAATTTGACAACTTATATTGAAGAGGTTTTTAATAGTCTTTATGTACGCGACCACCTTAATTCGGATGTTGGTTTTGGCGAAGAGGTATGGCTCCTTTTTTGCTGGGGATAAGGGTGGAAAGTATGTGAAATTCCATTTTGAAGTTGTCAATTCTAAATCATCAGGGTCTGTATATGATGTTCATTTGTTTTGTATGTATTAGGGTTCAGACTGTCGTGAGAATATTGCCTTAATTCTCAGGCATTATGCCAACGACAGTAAAAGAATTCAGTCGTCAGATTTTAAGCTAAAAGGCAAAATAGTCAGGTTGTTCTTAGGTGGAGATTTTCATTTCATCGATGATGTTCTGGGACACCAGGGTTCAGCTGCTAGCTTTCCTAGTTCTACAGATCTAGTTGAATTAAGTTCTCTTAGAAACCATGCTTCTATGCCTCACACACCTGCTAATTGTAACATCTTAAGGAGGACAATACAATCTCTGGAAGGTGCTTACAGTGAGAACTTGTGTGATAATAGACAAGGTGGAAACTTAAGAGCTCTAGGTAAGTTTCATAAATCAATTATTGCTCCTGTGATTTTCCCCATAATAACTTTAGATAATGTAGTGCCACCTGTTTTGCATATTATGTTAGGAGTTGTGTTAAAACTGTATAAGTTATTGTTGAAGGAGTGTAAGACTTTAGATTGTCAAGCTGTTTCGTCTTTGTCGCATAATGAGAATGTGAGAACGAATGAATTGTGGGCTGCTAAAAGCGTTGAATGTTCTAAAACAGCAGAAGCTTTGTGTTTATTAGGAAATCAATTTGTAGACGTTGCAAATCTACAGGCGCGATGGTTAGCTTTTAATAGCAATTTTTCCGAATTAGATAGCATATCCCTAAACTCCTCCAATAAAAAAAAAACCTGTAAACAGCAAAAAATGTGTGCTAGTATCAGATGTTTAATTACAAAATATGATAGTAACATTGATTGGGTGAAGTGTGTTACGTGCAAAAAATGGTTTCATCAACTTTGTGAAATTATTGGTGAATCAGAAAAGAGTGTATTGTGTGATATAGCGATGTACCAGTGTTTAGCATGTCAGGGTGAAGATATAGAATGCCTTGACCTGTATATTTCTGAAAAAATTTCTTTTATACGTGCGCAACGCGAAGTTTTAGATGTTGAATATATTAAATTGCAGATGGAGTGTGAAGACCTAGAAAAAATATCCAAAAGTAGCATGGGGAGTTATTAAGAGACCTCTTAATAAGAGGTCTCTTAATAACTCTTAATTCAAGGGCCTTATTAAGAGACCTCTTAATAAGGCCCTTCAAGGGCCTTATTAAGAGGTCTCTTAATAAGGCCCTTGAAGATATGAAGGTTGAGCGACAAGCGTATCATGGTAATGTGTTTGTAGGTAATCATTGCAAAATAGTCTTAAGAAACCATTATAAACTTTGTAGTGTTATTGATGATGAAGCTAATAAAAAAAATTTATGCGCATGTTTAGTGTTTTTAATAAGTTGCAACCAATTCTTTTTAAGCGAAAATTTCTTTCTGATGCCGAAATTACTGAGCTTCATCAATATGTAAATTTATTTGCTATCGAGTTTCATGCTTGCTTTCCAAATGAAAGTATCACACGAAAAATGCATGAACTCATTTTTAATGTGCCACTATTTGTAAAATTGCATAAAACTATTGGGTTGCTGAGTGAAGAGGAGGGAGAGTGTTTGCATAATAGTGTAAATAAGGAATTAAGACAGTTGCATTCAGTAAGAAATCAGGAACAGAAGCTGCGTCTTGTTTTAAAACGCTTTGAATTGCACAGCAAAGCTGATAGAAAGCTTCAAGCCTCTAAGGTGAGAAAGTGTGTTGTGTGTTCTGAGCGTGGTGAAAGTTCATTTTATAGACAAGGCCTATGTCTTGTTTGTGGTCATAAAATTTAGTCTAATTAAAAAAAAAAGTTTTTATATCTAAGATGAAATAAATAAATAGTAAATAAGTAAACTTTATTTTGTTTTATCATGTCTGTGTAATTTTACTTTAAAATATTTATTGTTTTTTATTATATTAATTTTATATTAGGTAGGTGCCCATTTTATTTTTATCTTCACAAGTTAATTATACCTATGCAATACCATCCAGGTTAAAGAATGGTATATAAGTCTAGCATCAAATCGGTGTAAAAATATAGCTTACTACTTTGACTTATGATAAGAGCATCTGGTATGTTTGTTGGCTATGATATTAAATAATTTTTTGTGTAGTTAATTTAAAAAATGTATTGTATTTTATTATATGTAACATTTAATTTAAATATTAGATGCCCATTTGGCTATTACCATCAGAAGTTAGTTCTACCTCTGCTCAACATACCATCTCTCTGGTTAAAGAATAGAATTTAAGTCTCATAAATAACAAGTTATTGTAAAGATACAGTTTAAATTAAGAATTTGTCAAAGCTATTGTCACTATTGTGAGTCTGTTAAACAAAAGCTTTTCGTCTGGTTTAGAATGGAGCCTGAATCTATAATCAACTAGGTGTACAAAGATCTTTTTCTAATTAAAGAACTTATCAGTGGATCAACTTATTATAAAACAGTTTTTTATGAGAATAAAAACACATTACCAAACAATTTAAATTAGCTATTTGTATATTTAAAGAAATGTTTTATTTTTTGTGAGAAAAGATTCAAATGCTATAAAATAATTTATTACCGAATGCGAGATTAATTCAAAAACTTCAACTTCAATGAAATATTTTATTAGACGTTTTTCAAAATTGAAATCTGGCTTTATTTTGTAATGCATTGAATTTATTAACTCAGTGAATTGTTTTCACAATTCGTATTTAAAAACATACTCGTTTAACAGCTAATCCCCCTTCAAACAATATTTTTTATAATTTTGCAATAAATGCGGTTTGCTTGCAGACTGCAATAAAGACTGTTTTAGTTAACCTTTAACAATTAAATAAGGTTTGTTTATTTTAATAATAGTCAAACAATGAATGTATTTGATAATAACTATCAGAATTATATTTTTCTGATTTTTCTTTGATAAAAAGTTACGAGAAATTACTAAAATTTAGCCAAGTTCATCATTTGTCGTGTTTTTTATAAAATAAAAGAAGCTTTTTTACTACTGTATTAAATGTCCTGTGATAAAACATTTTATTGTTGTTTTTATTCTTTTTACAAAACAAAATTATCTCAAAAATTTCAAAAGTTATAAATGTTTTATTAACACCCCCTACGTCAATATTTTCCAAAAAAAACAAGAAGCCGTAAAGCTCACTCTGAAACAGCCGTGATGAGCATGCTCAAATTACCCAGTGTTTTTTATTGAAATTATCTAGTTTAAAGTCCTAAAATAGCAGTAGTTTTAATTGCTTTTTGAATAAAAAACAAAACATAGTAAAAAATTTTAATATTTTAACAATACTAAATATTTTTCTGCAATTTAAATTCAAAAAAATTAAATTTTTATTGCTCAAAGGTTTGAGTTGATAAAATAGAAAAAATAACAATTTTTTTTTTGCGGAAAACATAGTAGTATTGTTTCAACAAAAAAAACTAAAACTTGATCTTTTAATCACAAGATTTGTTAACGAATTCCAATTCTAATTGTCAGGTTGGTATTTTTTTTAACTTTATGTTATTTTTTTTGAGCTAATTCAAAGTGCTCGTATTACCAAGTGGTCTGGGTAATATGAGCACTTTTGCTACTTTTTTAAAACCTCTGTGTTTTTAAGAATAAATTTCGGGTGCCCAAATATTTAAATGGATCATGAGTAGGGATCCCTAAAAATTGTTTATTTGCAAAATTTTGGATCCAGCATAATATTTTTGAAAATATTCTAATTATCGCTTAAGGTGCTCATTAAGCATATGACTTTTGAGCTTTTTGAATAAAAATTGATTTCCTGGGGTTTCAGTAGATGAAATTTTATATGTAGATTGCATTTATTATTCCTTTAGTAAAAAATTATGGCATTATACAATTATGTTGCGCTTAATGCAGGCAATATTTTATACCTTTAATGTTAGCTTCTTATTGAAATTAAAGCTAAATATAGTTTTAACAATCTGCCTTTAACCAATAGGCTTACACTTTCAAAATTTCATATTAAAAGTAGAGTTTCTAGTAGTTTGGCTTTATAAGCTTCAATTTTTCTCATCTGCTTTTGACTAATTGCTTTGTTGTTTTATTGTAGAAGCTATTCTGACAGAAAAAGTTTCATTTAGTTCATCAAAGACATGTCTAAACTATAACGTAACCTAGTTAATAAAAGCTTCAATGTATGGCAGCAGAATATAAAAAGCAAAGTTGTCAGGCGTTCAGAAATACCTTTGCAAGTTACTGAATTAAATGAACTCTGCAAAATGCCTTTTAACAGGGACATTGTTGGGCATTTTTTGGAATTACATAAAATGAAGGAGAAGAAAATAAGAATAGAAACTATTGCAAAGGAACTGAATTTACTTTGGGATAAATTTAATTTTCCTGTCATATCAATGCAACGTGTCCACCTAAAAATTGCAAATCTAATTGATGCATATGTGAGATACAGAAAGAAAAAGGGTAAGAGATTTCTGGAGGAATTAGCAAGCCTCTTTGATATAACCAAAACTGATGGAAATTGGTTGTCCTCTGAAGACAAACAACTTTACCTACAGCAGATTGAATCTCATGGTACTGTTGGATACATAACTTATGACGAATCTTTGCAAAAAAATGATGCTGAAATATCACTTGGTGATGATTTTATACCTGAAGTGGAAACAAAGAGGAAAAATATCAAAAAACCAAGGCTGCTGCAAATATGGTTACCAAATATTCTCTATCTACAAGACAATCATCCAGAGTCTGTTCTAGTCTAGCTGCTGAATGTTCTGCTAAGTTACCCACACCATCACAAACTGGAATATGGAAAAGAGTGGTCAGAGATGGAATTAGAAAGCCTACTGAAATAAAATGCATTCTTCAGCAAAAAAATGATTTCTGTTTGCATTTCAATGGAAAGAAACTGTCATCTAAAGAATATGAAGTTGTTTGCTTGCAAAGTCCTTCAAGGAAATTGAATTTAAGTATCATCATATGTGAATCTGGTTCGGTTGCAAACATATTTTCTGGATTGAAGAAGCTCTTAGATGACTTCGTGGAAGAGTATTAAAATGATTGTGTGCAATGGAATGTGTGCGATGCGTGCGATGGATGTATGCGATATTAAAATGATTGTGTGCGATGGAATGTGTGCGATGGATGTGTGCGATGCGTGGAAGAGTATTAAAATACTCTTATATATATATGTATATATTAATATATATATCTTATATATATATGTATATATATATATATATATATATATATATATATGTATATATATGTATATATATATACATATATATGTATATATATATATATATATATATATATATATATATATATATATATATATATATATATATATATATATATATATATATTTATATATAGGGTAGATTAGAGTAATATGAGCACTAGGTATATGACTTTTTTTCAATCAAGATTTCTGGGATGGCAAATTATGAACTTTTATCTAAATATAGTAAATATGACTTAATTTTTGTTTAAATTTTAAAAAACCTGGCGCACCCTTAAAGAAATAGCTACAATGCTTAAATCACACAAGTTATATATTGTAAAACAGAAATTTTAAATATCCATATGAATATATGCTTACTTTAGTAACTGTTGAGTGTTCACAATTGTAAATTTGAGTTTAAGAATTTAGCATTAAGGTACTTGTCACTTTTGCAGGTAGTGTAATGTCGTCTTCCATTATTTTGACTGCTCTTTCAGCCACAATGTTTGATTGTGGGAATGTCAATGACTGAAAGCTGATTTACCTAATGCGTTTGGAAATACTTTGTTGCTTTCTGGCAATCAAATTTTGAAACAGCAGAATGCAATTCTTCAAAACTGTCGAAGAACCAAGTCAAGGATGTGGTGTTGACACCCAATGTACTGCGTTCTAATAATACATTTTCTTTCAAATTCTTTATAATGCTGAGTGATTATTCCATTCCATTTCTGCTACCAGTGTTGACTGCTGTTCACACACAATCATTTTAATACTCTTCCACGCATCGCACACATCCATCGCACACATTCCATCGCACACAATCATTTTAATATCGCATACATCCATCGCACGCATCGCACACATTCCATTGCACACAATCATTTTAATACTCTTCCACGAAGTCATCTAAGAGCTTCTTCAATCCAGAAAATATGTTTGCAACCGAACCAGATTCACATATGATGATACTTAAATTCAATTTCCTTGAAGGACTTTGCAAGCAAACAACTTCATATTCTTTAGATGACAGTTTCTTTCCATTGAAATGCAAACAGAAATCATTTTTTTGCTGAAGAATGCATTTTATTTCAGTAGGCTTTCTAATTCCATCTCTGACCACTCTTTTCCATATTCCAGTTTGTGATGGTGTGGGTAACTTAGCAGAACATTCAGCAGCTAGACTAGAACAGACTCTGGATGATTGTCTTGTAGATAGAGAATATTTGGTAACCATATTTGCAGCAGCCTTGGTTTTTTGATATTTTTCCTCTTTGTTTCCACTTCAGGTATAAAATCATCACCAAGTGATATTTCAGCATCATTTTTTTGCAAAGATTCGTCATAAGTTATGTATCCAACAGTACCATGAGATTCAATCTGCTGTAGGTAAAGTTGTTTGTCTTCAGAGGACAACCAATTTCCATCAGTTTTGGTTATATCAAAGAGGCTTGCTAATTCCTCCAGAAATCTCTTACCCTTTTTCTTTCTGTATCTCACATATGCATCAATTAGATTTGCAATTTTTAGGTGGACACGTTGCATTGATATGACAGGAAAATTAAATTTATCCCAAAGTAAATTCAGTTCCTTTGCAATAGTTTCTATTCTTATTTTCTTCTCCTTCATTTTATGTAATTCCAAAAAATGCCCAACAATGTCCCTGTTAAAAGGCATTTTGCAGAGTTCATTTAATTCAGTAACTTGCAAAGGTATTTCTGAACGCCTGACAACTTTGCTTTTTATATTCTGCTGCCATACATTGAAGCTTTTATTAACTAGGTTACGTTATAGTTTAGACATGTCTTTGATGAACTAAATGAAACTTTTTCTGTCAGAATAGCTTCTACAATAAAACAACAAAGCAATTAGTCAAAAGCAGATGAGAAAAATTGAAGCTTATAAAGCCAAACTACTAGAAACTCTACTTTTAATATGAAATTTTGAAAGTGTAAGCCTATTGGTTAAAGGCAGATTGTTAAAACTATATTTAGCTTTAATTTCAATAAGAAGCTAACATTAAAGGTATAAAATATTGCCTGCATTAAGCGCAACATAATTGTATAATGCCATAATTTTTTACTAAAGGAATAATAAATGCAATCTACATATAAAATTTCATCTACTGAAACCCCAGGAAATCAATTTTTATTCAAAAAGCTCAAAAGTCATATGCTTAATGAGCACCTTAAGCGATAATTAGAATATTTTCAAAAATATTATGCTGGATCCAAAATTTTGCAAATAAACAATTTTTAGGGATCCCTACTCATGATCCATTTAAATATTTGGGCACCCGAAATTTATTCTTAAAAACACAGAGGTTTTAAAAAAGTAGCAAAAGTGCTCATATTACCCAGACCACTTGGTAATACGAGCACTTTGAATTAGCTCAAAAAAAATAACATAAAGTTAAAAAAAATACCAACCTGACAATTAGAATTGGAATTCGTTAACAAATCTTGTGATTAAAAGATCAAGTTTTAGTTTTTTTTGTTGAAACAATACTACTATGTTTTCCGCAAAAAAAAAATTGTTATTTTTTCTATTTTATCAACTCAAACCTTTGAGCAATAAAAATTTAATTTTTTTGAATTTAAATTGCAGAAAAATATTTAGTATTGTTAAAATATTAAAATTTTTTACTATGTTTTGTTTTTTATTCAAAAAGCAATTAAAACTACTGCTATTTTAGGACTTTAAACTAGATAATTTCAATAAAAAACACTGGGTAATTTGAGCATGCTCATCACGGCTGTTTCAGAGTGAGCTTTACGGCTTCTTGTTTTTTTTGGAAAATATTGACGTAGGGGGTGTTAATAAAACATTTATAACTTTTGAAATTTTTGAGATAATTTTGTTTTGTAAAAAGAATAAAAACAACAATAAAATGTTTTATCACAGGACATTTAATACAGTAGTAAAAAAGCTTCTTTTATTTTATAAAAAACACGACAAATGATGAACTTGGCTAAATTTTAGTAATTTCTCGTAACTTTTTATCAAAGAAAAATCAGAAAAATATAATTCTGATAGTTATTATCAAATACATTCATTGTTTGACTATTATTAAAATAAACAAACCTTATTTAATTGTTAAAGGTTAACTAAAACAGTCTTTATTGCAGTCTGCAAGCAAACCGCATTTATTGCAAAATTATAAAAAATATTGTTTGAAGGGGGATTAGCTGTTAAACGAGTATGTTTTTAAATACGAATTGTGAAAACAATTCACTGAGTTAATAAATTCAATGCATTACAAAATAAAGCCAGATTTCAATTTTGAAAAACGTCTAATAAAATATTTCATTGAAGTTGAAGTTTTTGAATTAATCTCGCATTCGGTAATAAATTATTTTATAGCATTTGAATCTTTTCTCACAAAAAATAAAACATTTCTTTAAATATACAAATAGCTAATTTAAATTGTTTGGTAATGTGTTTTTATTCTCATAAAAAACTGTTTTATAATAAGTTGATCCACTGATAAGTTCTTTAATTAGAAAAAGATCTTTGTACACCTAGTTGATTATAGATTCAGGCTCCATTCTAAACCAGACGAAAAGCTTTTGTTTAACAGACTCACAATAGTGACAATAGCTTTGACAAATTCTTAATTTAAACTGTATCTTTACAATAACTTGTTATTTATGAGACTTAAATTCTATTCTTTAACCAGAGAGATGGTATGTTGAGCAGAGGTAGAACTAACTTCTGATGGTAATAGCCAAATGGGCATCTAATATTTAAATTAAATGTTACATATAATAAAATACAATACATTTTTTAAATTAACTACACAAAAAATTATTTAATATCATAGCCAACAAACATACCAGATGCTCTTATCATAAGTCAAAGTAGTAAGCTATATTTTTACACCGATTTGATGCTAGACTTATATACCATTCTTTAACCTGGATGGTATTGCATAGGTATAATTAACTTGTGAAGATAAAAATAAAATGGGCACCTACCTAATATAAAATTAATATAATAAAAAACAATAAATATTTTAAAGTAAAATTACACAGACATGATAAAACAAAATAAAGTTTACTTATTTACTATTTATTTATTTCATCTTAGATATAAAAACTTTTTTTTTTAATTAGACTAAATTTTATGACCACAAACAAGACATAGGCCTTGTCTATAAAATGAACTTTCACCACGCTCAGAACACACAACACACTTTCTCACCTTAGAGGCTTGAAGCTTTCTATCAGCTTTGCTGTGCAATTCAAAGCGTTTTAAAACAAGACGCAGCTTCTGTTCCTGATTTCTTACTGAATGCAACTGTCTTAATTCCTTATTTACACTATTATGCAAACACTCTCCCTCCTCTTCACTCAGCAACCCAATAGTTTTATGCAATTTTACAAATAGTGGCACATTAAAAATGAGTTCATGCATTTTTCGTGTGATACTTTCATTTGGAAAGCAAGCATGAAACTCGATAGCAAATAAATTTACATATTGATGAAGCTCAGTAATTTCGGCATCAGAAAGAAATTTTCGCTTAAAAAGAATTGGTTGCAACTTATTAAAAACACTAAACATGTGCATAAATTTTTTTTATTAGCTTCATCATCAATAACACTACAAAGTTTATAATGGTTTCTTAAGACTATTTTGCAATGATTACCTACAAACACATTACCATGATACGCTTGTCGCTCAACCTTCATATCTTCAAGGGCCTTATTAAGAGACCTCTTAATAAGGCCCTTGAAGGGCCTTATTAAGAGGTCTCTTAATAAGGCCCTTGAATTAAGAGTTATTAAGAGACCTCTTATTAAGAGGTCTCTTAATAACTCCCCATGCTACTTTTGGATATTTTTTCTAGGTCTTCACACTCCATCTGCAATTTAATATATTCAACATCTAAAACTTCGCGTTGCGCACGTATAAAAGAAATTTTTTCAGAAATATACAGGTCAAGGCATTCTATATGAAGGAGCACGCCCTCTCTCATTTTTGAGGGGGTACGCCCTCCCCCTCTTTTGTTTTTTAAAAGAAATTGACGTTTTTTTAATAAAAAATTGAGAAATGAGATAGTGTGCCCCTCACTTTGAAAACCGTGTTGTCAGCCCTGCGAAAACCATTGATTTCTTGTCCAATTTCCCAAACTCAGTTGTAAATTGTCTATGTTGGTTAAAAGGTTGTTGGTTTAAACATTTATTTATTGTAAAGAATCATTTCTCTTCCATTCTAAGCAATAAATAGGAGCATGTACTTGTTTTTTTCTTTCTTTTTCTTTTTCTCTTTTTCAAATTTTCATATTATTTAATTTTACTTTACGGTTTTTATATCTGTATAAATCAGTTACCTTTTTGCAATATTACCCGGTAGGAAATGAGCTAGCGACTAGCTAGCTTCATAGCGATTTTCAAGCGATTTTTTTTTTCTGATTTTATTCTTTACTAATGTCTCTAACATCTTTAAAAAATTCGATTTTTAGTGTTGAGTCTATTATAATTATGAGAATAATTGAACTTTAAACATTGCGATTTTGTAGCAATGTGTCGCTAGCTACATATCGTAGGTTTGTAGCTAGCTACAAAATATCTACAAATCTATAGCTGGTTGATAGCTACATACCAAAATTTTTTTGATAGCAATTTTATTACGATATGACGGTAGCTGTAATAGCCTGTGAGTCTTTAGCTTATTAAGCTAGCTGTCCTCGTAGCCAAATCGCTGTCTTTATCTTTACAAATATCGATAGCTTTTCGCTAACTTAAAAAAGCTAGCAATCCTCATGGCCAAATCGCTGTCTTTATCGTAACGTTTATAGCTAGCTTATCGCTAGCCAATTTCCCACCGGGTAACTGCTATCAACGTTTTCAATATAATATACCAAAAATATATTGTAAAACATAATTTAAGTGAGACACGTTTAGATTTAGTATATAGGAATTATCAACTTTTGAAACTATCGAGAAGTTTATTGGTTGAAGCACTACTTTTTACCTGGTTAACAATATTTCTACACAGTTTAAAGTAACACTAAAGTAAAATTTGTTTTGTTATTATTATTTATTAGTTGCAGTACTTAAAGGTTATGTCTGTTAAATATATATTTTTAAATATACCCGGTGTCGGGTACATCAACAAAATGATTCCAAGTACCCGGTAAAAGCACCGAATTACCGGGTCCCTGGGTCCGTACCGGGTACATCTCTATTATATATATATGTATATATATATATATATATATATATATATATATATATATATATATATATATATATATATATATACATACATATATATATATATATTTATATATATATATATACATACATATATATATATGCATATATATATATATATATATGTATATATATATATATATATATATATATATATATATATATATATATATATATATATACATATATAGAGATATATACATATTATAGTTTGATAACATGCATAAAAAAAACTTTATGACATACATTGGATTCCTGGAAGCCACAAAGACCAATTAGGACAACCTATTTGCTTTGATTGAATAGTCTCTATAAGAATCATTATAGTTCTTTGACGCTGTTGCAATATAGAAGCTAATCTTTTTGTACGTGGGTTTCCATTAATTATTTGAGCATCTGTAGACCAAAACTGAAGTATCCATGTAATGAGCTCATCAACATACTTTCGACCCATGTTTGAATGCATTATTTGTGGTAGTCCAAAATGTCCGAGAACATATCTACAAAGTTTTCTTGCAACATATGCAGCATCTGAAGTTTTTAAAGGAAACAAAACATTATACTTAGTATGATGGTCTGTAAAATGTCCAATGAAATAAAAGTTGCCTTCAGTGTCAGGAGTGCTCTGCATATCAAGTATATCAATCTAAAAAAAGTTTTCGGTGTATTGTCATTTAACAATGTTTTAAAAGTGATTATTGAAAAAAGATTTTTATGCAATAGTTTGAAGTATATTGTTATTTAACAATGAGTAACTGCTAATAAATGACTGATATTGTTCAAACCCATTTGATTTACCATGGATATCATAAAGAATGGGAGTTAAAATCAACAAAAGTTTTACAAAAAAATTTGGGTATTTACCAACCCTGGCCACCATAAATAGAAAAAAATACTAGTTGATGTTTGAAGGCTCATATTAGACAACTGGGTGCATGTTATAATTTGCTTTCAGACAAGTTATTATAACTATTGCTAATAAGTTTCATATTTCCAAAATAACGTCCTCAGAAGAGGGGTAACAATATGTCTTGAGCATTTTTTTATAAAATTTTTTATATTTTACATTTTATTATAACATTTATTATTTTATAATATTATGTCTTGAGCATTTTTTAATTTTATTACTATGCACAAAATGATGCAAATAAATAATTACCTGGCATCTAGTCATAAATTGCATTTCAAATTCTTTTTTCTTTGGTGGTAAATTTGATTTATCTTTAGATTGAGTCTTGGCATGATTCTTTATACTTGTGGGAATATAACATGCATGCTCCTTCTGACAAAACTTGCAGAGTGATACATATTTGCGAACAACATCTCTTGGAATGCTGCAATACGTTGCACTTAACTACAAAGAAAAGAGAGTTACTATTTTTTGTTTAGAAACAAAAAACATTTGTGTTTACTTTAAACTGCCAGTCTTCAAAATAATTTTAAACTGCCAGTCTTCAAAATAATTCATAGTGTAATGTGGGAGTAATAAAAATAATTTATTTATTCTCACACTACTCAAACTGAGACAACTTTATAAATATAGCTGTGAGTAACTCACAGCTATATTTATAATACAATTTACAATGAGACATACAAAACATTATGAGTTATTTAAAATACAGCACATAGTACAATGTATAATTAAAATGCAGTGTCACATTTTGTAATAAAAAAAGTTTAAATAAAAAAAAATTCAAGGCTAGGACTTATTTTGAATTAAAAAAAAATGCTTTTAAGATTTTTATGTAACAAAAATTGTAGTCATAGCATCGTACAATTTCTTATTAGTTAACTTATAATCAAATAATTACTTGTCTAATATCTAGTGTTTTTACAAAAGTTATATAATTAGCAACAACTGAAATTAACTGAAAATATAAAAATAATCATAAAATAAATACTAATGGGGAAAAATTTAATGTGAAGTTAGGCTTAGATTTTCACAAATTATGTGGGTTATTAAGTAAATTCATGGTAAATTCAATTTCTTAATCAAAAATAAACTAAAATAAATAAGAATTTTCAGAATAAATTAATAACTAAATAGAACTATTTAAAAAAAGTAGAAAAATCATCTGTATTATACCATCATTGTAAACATTTGTAACAAAAAACTGATTTTGTATGCTTCTTTTTACTAATTTACTGATTTTCCAACCGATCACATTTTAATATTTTAATCCTGCATTATGATAATAATTAAATAATAAATAAAACTTTATGCATTACTTAGATAATTGTTTATATTGATTTTGCTTACAGGCGAATATGTTTATTCTTAAGATGATGTTTATAAGCTTTAATTTAACAGCTGAATGTTTTTATACTTTTATTGCTATAATGTTATTTTTAGAATAATTTTATTTTATGTTGTGTAATTTTTTCATGCCCTCTATTTTCTGTTGAAAGTGAACAATTGTCCAGTTGTGGAGATCAAATTCTTCCACAACTGAACAATGAAGGAAAAATGCTTATGTTTTTACATAACAATATTGGTATACACAATTTTAAATGCTAAACACTATTACAACTGCTATTTATGCTTTTTTTAGAATCCTAAAGTTATTGATTCCTTGGTATTTGATTTTAAAATCTCTTATTTTATTTTGAGAAAATGTATATTTTATGTTATAATTTTTTTTTTAATTCGATTTTATAAAGAGTTCAAAGTTCTAAGTAAACTGCTTATCTTAATACCATTTTCTTTTTAAAATTGAATTAAAAACATTCCTTTAAAATAATGTTTATTTTTTGAAAATTTTCTTTTCATAGTTAAAAAAACTAGAAATTGTATATTATTTTAATTTATATTAATATTATTATTTTATTCGGCATCGGTATTGGCCTTTTCCTATCTATCGGCATCGGTATCGGCCACAAATATGCAATTAGTACATCACTAATTATGTAACTTATGCTTTATCTTAACTTATAATATATCTTGCATGTTAATTAACTATGAGAATATACAATGTAAACATTTTTGTAATGTTTAATAAGATATTAGGAAATTTTTTATTCTTGTTTTCTTATGATGAAAAAGACTGCTGCTTCTTGTTTATTGTAGTAAATAATAAATATTTAATCGTATTCATAAGAAAATTCATACTTATTACCATAGAATTATTAAAGAGACTCTCATCAAGCAGTTCAATCAAGTGATATTTGGGAGTTCCATTACTAAGCTTGTAACCATGCATTATTGTATACACTTCAATACCAAGGTCTCAAGCTTGTGTCCAACAATTTAACAGAGAAAAAAAAGTTTCACTGGACAAAAAAATACAGAATTAATTTTTTAAAACATCAAAAAATTTATATTCTATGAATACCTCATAGTTACAAGCATTTCCATCTATAATTACTCAACAACATCTTTAATAATTCAAATTGATAAAGTAGAATTACTTTTTTTTTCGAAAGCATATTTAAGTTAAAGCCGTTTTTAAAGAAAAAAAAAAAAACTATTCAAACATTTTTCAAAAATTAAAACAAATATTTTCTAAATAACTAAAGTTAATCGATGATTTGCTAATTATCATTGCAAATTAAAAATTTTTTATTATGCTTTTCAAAATTTTGTATATTCAAAAAGTTGAGGAAAATTCTAAAAATCAGCTTCTCTACCATATATTTTATAAAGTTAAAAAGATACTAATTTTTTTTTTTAAAAAAAGATTTTTTAAAAAAAAGATTTTTTTAAAAAAAGATACTAATTTAAAAAAAAAAAAAATTATAATAAAAGAAGAATTTCAAAGAAAAAAAGAAAACCTTCACAAACGTTCCCTTGTACCCACGATGTTTTGATCCATTCTTATGTGCAGCTTCAATAACATCAAACATATCTTCTTTAAATATTAACTGACGATTTTGTCCAAGCATTGCATGACTAGCAGAGCTCTAAACAGTTATTTTTAAATCATAACAAACATTAAAAAAATCATTAAAAAAATTTATACTGATGTAGTTTTTACACAACCAAATTATCAACAACACTATGTGGTTTTGGTAATAATGTTTAGTTTTACTAAAGCTTGAACTGAATAATTTCTTAATACAACAATACTACTAGTCTTTTGCTGGCAATATTTGCTAATTAGCAGTTCTAAATCTTCTGTACATATTTCATATTTTATCTTTTACCTTAAAAAATTTTATATTTTGTAGAATTTTTTTAAGTCTTCACAACCTGCAAGAGTCACACTATACATTTTGAATTAATATATATTATAAATTATAAATTATAAATTATAAATATATATATATATATATATATATATATATATATATATATATATATATATATATATATATATATATATATATATATATATATATTATAAATTATTACTTAAAATGTTAAAAACTTTTATTTAAAAAGTTTTTTTACTATTTGATAGACTGCCTGCCCCAACCAAACTTTTAGTCGATGTAGCAGCACTTCCTTGTAGCAGCAGACTTTAAGATAGCTGTTATGGCAGCATCTCAATCAACTATCTATATTGTAGCAACAGGCTACAATATAGATAGTTGATATAGCAACACTTCACGCATGTTTCACAGTAAAAAAATAAAATATTTATAGCCGTTTTATTTCTTAAAAATTATCTATATATTTTTAATAATCACTTTCAACAAGGCAGCAAGCAACCACTATTAGAGTTGGAAGTTACTGGAAGAGAAAAGAAGAACTTTATAAAGCAAGGTAAGAATTAACAGACGACTTGAAAGTTTTGGAGCACTTAAGAACAGTCACAGTAAAAAGATGAGACCTAATTGAATGATGAGTAATACGAGAATGAATTTTAGTATATGGCACAAGAGACGCTAGCTCTTTTAGGGCATCACCCAATATAATATTTATAGAAAAGAAAAAGAGAAGAAACATAACAACAAAATAAAAACATTTAGAATGTTTTTAAAAAAATTCTAGTACTTTAATTTGAGTTTTTGAAGTTTTTAAAAAAACAACAAATTTAACTATTTTGTCTTATTAGATGTCATAGGGCAATTAAGCGTCATTTTTATACAAAAATGATACGTTTAATACCTTTACTATATATATATATATATATATATATATATATATATATATATATATATATATATATATATATATATATATATATATATATATATATAAATTATGTAGAGTACTCAATGTTCTTAAAGAACAGAGCAATAATAAATTAAGTTTATAAATTAACTTCAGATCTATCTATATATATTAACTATCAGATCTATCTATTGGAAGCTTTTATTTTAGAAAGCGTGAATTTTATTTTAAAGAACAATAATTTTACTTTCAATAATGAGTTTTTCAATCAATTAATCAGAACAGATATGGGAAAAAAAATGGCTCCACCTTATGCATGTTTAGTAGTGGGATACCTTGAAGAAGTGAAATTATTTCCTAAAGTTTTACCAAATTTTTTCAACAAAATCGAATGGGAAAACATTCAAAACAATTTCAAAAGATACATAGATGATGGATTTGTTGCTTTACTAAAATCAATTAATATTAATTTGCTGTTAAAGTGTCTTAATTCTTTACACCCCAACATCAAATATACACAAGAACAATCTAAAATTTCATATTCCGAAACCACACAGTACCAACTTTTAAACTTTTTCTACATGATTATCGAAACAGATATTTTCTATGCACCTACAAACTCCCATGATTATCTAAATTACAATAACTATCACTGATAATTTTATATTGCTTAGTTTGAGCCATAGGGATGACAAGATCTAATTAGGATCAAACCCTTAGGCCCTGTAATTTTTTGTATTCTTATTTATATGGAAGAGAATTAATGATGGTTTTTGTTAAAAAATATCTATAAATCTATATATTTAATTGTTACAACTAGTTATATATAAACTGTATGTAGTCTTCTCGTTTTGTTATTCCAACTCCTATTGAGTTTAGTGCTACGGCTTTTAAGTGAGAATTCCTTGTGCAAAATTATTTTCTCAAAGGAATACTTTTGCAATCAGTTTTTTAATGTAATTCTCTAAAGGGAATTGCTTATTCCGCAATCACTCCTCGTTATTTTGAGCAAGCATTAGAAATAATTGTCCAGAGGGAATTGTTTTGGTAACAATCATTACCATCCTTTACATTAAAAATAAGTAACATTTTAAAAATTTGAGTAAAATCATGTTTTATGAGTTTGAATTTTTATAATTTTTGAATTTTAATTGTGATATAAAATGGAAACAAGAAGCACAACAGATATTTGGCTGATAAGTCAACAAATAGATAAATTGAATCTAAGTTGTCTACCATTAAAAAGAGAAGTAATCTCTTTATTGATGCATTATAAAAATGTTTGCAAAGAAACTGACAGAGAAGCATTAACTTCTGCTGTTAATGATGTATTAGAGATGTGGAAGAGAGCAGGAATACCAACCTCCCTGAAATGCGATGTTGTGAATAAATTAAATAAACTGTTTATTGAATGGAAATTGTTAATAAGAAAGGCAAAGGAAAAAAATCAAAATTCTCCATAGAGAAAGAGAATAAATGGAATAAAAAACTGGATACATTCTTTGATATAGCGCATGCAAATGCAAATGAGTTGATAACTATTGCGGAAGATAGAGATTTTCTAAAGTTACAAAGGGAAGGTTGAAAGGAAAAAGTGATGCGATTATGAATTAAGAATGAAGAAAAACGTCAAACCAAAGTAAAATGGCAAAACAGAAACAGAAAAAAATATGTATGAAAAGATCACATGAATTCAAAAGATAAAATAGTAATTCTTGCAAGCAGCAACAGCTTCTGCAGTGATTCACCTGCATCTACAGAAGAAGAAATAAATCTTGAACAGGAATCAACATCAAAAAGAGGCACTTCAAGAAAAGAAAAAAAAGATTATGGATGAAAACTTGCTTTCCTCATTGGATATTGCCAAGATCAGTGACCAATCAGCCTCTTTAATAGTAATTCCAACAATCGCAAATCTGGGAGAAGATCCAAATAATTACAATGTAAGCTATTCATTAATACAAAAGGCAAGACAAATATCAATAAAAATTTTTTTAGTGAAAATTTGAAAGTGACTTATAAAACTGATTAACCTGTTCATTAATATGGCAAACTACTTAAAGACATTGTTGGCAATGAGGTTGTAGATTGGTTGCCAGTCCTAATATCTGATAATGTAAAAGGTATGTGCTTTGACACAACTTCATCAAAAACTGGTCGAAAAAAACGTAGCTTGTGTCTTACTTGAACAAAATATGGAAAAAGATTTGTTATGGTGTCCTTGTTGACATCATAACCTAAAAATCCTGCTGAATGCAGTTGTATCCACAGTATTGACAGTTTCATCAGGCCCTGAAATTCAGCTATTTAAAAGATTTAAAAAAAACTGGAGTAATATTGATGAAACTTCATTCGATAAATTAGACAGATATCCACAAAAAGAAAAAGAAGAAATCATACAATTTGCAGTAAAAAAACTCAAAGAAGATCAACCTCGCAACAATTACAAAAAATAATTAGAACTTTCAATATATTGCTTGGCAGTACTCTAAAAGCTGGAATTAAATTCAGAAAGCCTGGGGCTTATCACAGAGCACGTTGGATGGCGAAAGACATTTATTCCATGAAAACCTGGATGTTCAAAACGAAGTTTAAAATAACAGCTAAGAATGAATAAAAACTAAAAGAAATATGTCTGTTTTATGTTGCAATATACATTAAGCATTGGTTCTTGGCCCCCCATGCAGTAAGTGCTCCACAAAATGATCTAAGTCTTATTAAGATTCTTGACAGCTACAAAAGTACAAATGAAGAATTAGCAAAAAAGATTTCATGGAGTACATATAACAACTTTAAATACTATAGTGCATGCACAACAAGAAATAATAGAAAAGTTATTAAAAAGAATTGAGGCATTGGAGGCAAAAACAACATCAGCCCCCTTGTGGGCAGAGATTGTTGTTCGTGGAAAAAATACAACACAATTAATCAACCTAAATGCATCAATTATAGAACAAAATGAACAAAAAAAAAAGGAAGCTAATATAATTATATTTGGTATAACAGAATCTGATGCAACAACCAATTCGAAAAAACATGATAATGATTTTAATGTTGTGGAAAAGATATTTAACACAATCGGAAAACCATGTTCACCAGTCTTTGTAAGAAGATTAAAAAAAAAAATTTTAGTCAAAAACCTGCTCCAATTTTAGTACGCTTTAAGGACAAAGCACAAAGAAATAATATACTTGTGGCAGCAAAGGAATTATGTTCACATGAAAATTGAAGGATATATTCATTAACCCAGATAAAACATTAGCCGAAAGAGCATTTGATTATGCTTTAAACAGGGAAAGAAAAAAGAAAAATAACTCTCTGCAAAATACGCATACCTTTGTTTATGAGATTCGGAGGCAATAGATTGTCAAGATTAACAAACAACAATTAACAAAAGAAAAAACTTAATGAACTTTCAGTATTAGTACAGTTAAATAAAATAGATATTATAATGGTGACAGAAATGTGGTTTAATGCTGAATTAGTGTCAAACCTGGATGGTTATTTATACACGAAAAGATCTTATAACTTTTGAAATTAACTCTTTTGAATTATGTTATCCAGATGAATTGAATGTCTGAGTGTTCCTAATGGAAAGACTCAAACATAGTTTTGATTTTTAAAAATAGCACTAAGCTTGATCAACAGAAACAATATCTATTACACATTGTACTAAATTTTCAAAGGAAGCTCCAGGACAAATCTAAGACAAGTATTTTATCTTTGACACGAAGATAAAACCCAAAAGTATAAGTTTTATAATGTATTATATTATAAGATATCTTTTAAAAATTTCCGCCATTTTGTACTTTGTTTATTAACAAACAGAAAATAGTAAAATAGTTTTTATAATCCTTGCAGGGAACTTCCACTAGAAAAAGTGAAAAAATGACTCTGCTGCACCTCCTGGGTGTAAAGGGAATCAGCAAATTTCCAAAATTTGATTTTACTCAAATTTTTGAATTTCTACAATTTTCTATTAGCAGGTGCACCCCCTAAATATTATTATTTTAACCTACAATTTTACAAAGATTGTTTTTATAACAAACTATATATATATATATATATATATATATATATATATATATATATATATATATATATATATATATATATATATATATATATATATATATCATTGAAAATTACATTTTTGCTTGTGACTGATTTCTGCTAACAAACTCATGTAAATAGCTTGTAAATAAAACTTGTAAATAAAGCATTGTAGCAGTTTGTTTTCTTTTATTGTAATTCTTATCTCAATAAAACAAAATGCTTGCGGTAATGATATTTTTTAATTAAAAAAGCGCAATAAAAATGTAGTGTAAAAGTATAAATATTTTGATAATCTCTTCTTAAATTTAAGATTTTATGCTTTTAATTTAACAATTAAAAAGTTTTATTAATTTTGTAATTTATGCGAACTCTTTTGTTCAAAAATACTTTTAAAACAAAAGAACTTTTTAATTATTTTTTAATACACTAAGCAAGTTTTTTAATACAATAAGCAAGTTGCGTTTTTTGCTTAAGTAGTTTACATACATAAAATACAAGTCAACCATATATATATATATATATATATATATATATATATATATATATATATATATATATATATATATATATATATATATATATATATATATATATATATATATATATATATATATATATATATATGTATATATATATATATATATATATATATATATATATATGTATATATATATATATATATTTATATATATAATATATATATATATATATATATAATATATATATATATATAATATATATATATATATATATATATATATATATATATATATATATATAATATATATATATATATATATATATATATAATATATATATATATATATATATATATATATATATATATATATATATACATATAATATATATATAATATATATATATATATATATATATATATATACATATATACTTTACTTCCAACAAGGTTGCAAGCAAACACTATCAGAGTTGCAAATTATATGAATTAGGAAAATATGATTAAAGGAGCGAATTACAAAGAACGAATGTTCGAGGAAAAAAACTTCACATTTCCCTTGTTTTCAGCATCAAATAAAATTTACAAAAAACAACATTTGCACAAGTTTTTTTTAAAACTGCTTCATATGAAAATAAAAAATTTGTTTATGTTAGGCTGTTAAAAATTACATAAGGATTCTTTGGTATCTAAATATCGAAAATTTGCAAGTAGTAATTTGTATGCAGTTTACTTCTAATTTTACATTTCAAAAATTTTTTACTTACTCTGGTAATAAACTTTAAAATTAGATTATGATATCTAGACATATTATAATAAATGGTTTATAGTTTTTAAAATCAAATCATTAATATCCCATCTAATGACACTATATTTTTATAAATATTTTGAAAAAAACGATATCTTATAAACTTATACTATATTTTTCTTGGAAAATGTACCTTATCTTTAACAGGTAAACATAATATGTCTCCAAGACCAACAACATTGACTAGCTGAAATTTTCTTTTTTTTACTTGAAATCTAAAAGATGACGTATATTTTGCTCGAATAGTAGCGTCTTCTGAACCATTTTCACGAAGTATTCTTAGGTAATCAATAATCTTTTCCCCGTAACTTCGAGATATCATTGTACTTTGCCTTGTTATTTTATTAATTAACCAATTATTAAATTCTTCTTTATTGACTGAGGTTTTTGTTTCCTCAGCAATGCTTTCGCTTTCATTTCCTGATGGTGATTTATCGAACTTCTCCATGATCGGACCAAATGCAGAAACACATTAGAAAATAGTAACGTGCCCAGTGGGACTTTTAAATACCAAACGCACAAGTTCGTATATACTAAATTAGTTCCGAATCGGTCATGAACTTAATATTAAGTTTCTGGGAAAAATATCAATTTTTAAATTTGCAATTTTTATTTGATATTTTTATTTTTGGAAATTATTTTCTAATAGCGTGAATTGCGTTAGCTATAAATAAATATATATAATAGGAGCTTTTTAAACTTACTATTTAGTAAACTTAATTACTTAGTAAAAAAATAATTTTAGATTCTTAAATATGATTTTAAATGATAAATGTGATAAATAAATTCTTAAACATGATTTTATTGTTATTTAAAATTTTTGGTGATAAATTTTTTGATATTTTGAGACATGGATAATAAGGAATCTAGTCAAAAAATAAGTTCAGAGTCTGAAACCTCTGATGAAGAAGAAATCTCTGGTGACTATGGTAATGAGAATGAAGATGAAAACGTATTACTAATAAACACTAATGTCCCACATGGTGTTTATGATGTAATAAGTTTTAGTAGAGAAAGTTATAGTGAAAGACATGGGGGCATTTTTTCTTCTATTTTTACATTAATTTCAACTATGATTGGAGGTGGACTGTTGTCTTTACCGTATGCATTTCAGCAAGGTGGTTTTATTGTTGCGACATGTGTTTTGTTGTTTGTGTTAATTTCGTCAACTTATTCAGCATTTCTGATTATAAACAGTAAAAAGTATTGCTTTGGAAGGGTTAAAAACATAGAAGATGTGGCAAAGGTTGCTTTTGGAAGATTTGGAGAGGTTTTTAAAAAAATGATTTTTTAATTAAGTTATTATATCTCACTAACTATTATTTTATCTACATATATATATATATATATATATATATATATATATATATATATATATATATATATATATATATATATATATATATATATATATATATATATATATATATATATATATATATATATATATATATTGTATATATTAGGCTGACCAGATTTTTCTGAAAAAAAAAGAGTACACTTCCTAAATTCAACCATAGCCCAAAAAACGTTGGGTTTTAATGATTTTATTAAAAACCTTTTAATGTATAAAAGGTTGAAAACACAAGGGTGTATGTATAGCCAATACAATCTATGATATATTATATAAAAATCATTTATAGATACTTTTCAGAATCTTTTGCTTTTTGTAACAAATGCTTGTTTCCTTTTATTTCTTCGTAAAATTGATCGCATGTAAGACCAATATTAATTTTTACATTTATTACACTCTTAAGTGTACTAATTTTTGAATGGCTTGTCTTTTGTCCAATATTGACCCACTAAACTAAACAAACGTTCACATTCTGCATTAGTCCCTGCAACAGTAAATACAAATGTAGCAAGCATTTCCAGCAGTTGCAGCTTTACTACAGCATTGCCATTAATAAACCTTCTAAAACAATTTTCCATCTAGAAAATATAGGAACAGATTCAGCCTCCCAGTTTTCCAGATTTATATCTAAACAAGCTTTGATAAAACAATAAGAGTCAAAAATTTCATTATCATCTATGATAGAAATAGGTAATGATTTGGTTTTATTAAGGAAATAAATGTACACTTCCTTAAAATCCTCATATGAAAGTTTTTCCTTTAACAAAAGGTATTTCATATTCCTTGCTTCATTGCAAAATCTACCAGACCACTTTTTTAAATAATCAATTATAGTGCTATAAAATTTCACTAAAATAGAAATAACATGATCTCTATCTAATATTCCTCCTGCTTCTAGTTTTTTTAAAAGGTTATCTGCCATAAATGGTATAAATCTGCTTTCAAGTCTATTTTCATAACTAGCTAATAGTTTGTAAAACTCAGCTGATACTTCCACTGCACTTTTATCGTTTCCTTCTATCTTTTTCACAGTCTCACCAAACAAATGAAATTAAGGAAAAGTAACCAAAATTCAGAAGATCCAGAATTTAAAAAATTAAAAATTGCAAGTGGTAAATTTTCCTCACTTAAAAAATATGACTTCAAAGGTTCATACATTCTAAGTATTCTGTCTATGCATGGTGATAAAGATAGCCATTGTGTTTTTGAATGTGATAGAACCATTTTAAATTGGCATCCAATAAAGACACAAAATTCTTTCAACGTTTCTGTTTGAAGAGTAAATATGTTAAAATGATGATATATTTTAAACATATTTTCTATATCTATTAGAATTATCTTTGAAGTAGCTGCAGATAGGGCATTATGTCTATTGTCAAAATTTCTCTCATTAAATCCTTTTCAAGCTTTGAATGAATATTACCTTCAGTTTTTTTACTTGATAAAGCGCCAAAGTTAACTGCTGCATTATCTGCTGAAAATCCAATTATTTTATCATGTATGTTGTAAAAATTTATATCTTCTAAAACAATTTTTGTTATTGTTTTTGCTGTTTCATTTGGAAGATTATGAACTTTCAAAATACTATACTTAATTTCAATAGCAGGTTTAACAATACAGTATCTTACTATAACGGGTAGAAGTTTCGTATTTTTGTGGTTCGATGTATCACAAGCGACAACAACAAATTTTGCATTCTTCAAGTCTTTGTTTAATAAATCTTCAGACCAATTTAAAATTATATTGTTTACAAGACACTCTGACTTGGTTCTTCCACATACAAACTTATAATCACAGGATTTCCCCTAAAATATCCCTAAAACAATGATTGTGCTTTACGTTATGGTATGACCATAGAAGTTCAAGGGCTGTAAGTTTTGCTTCATAAGTAGTTAAATCCTTACAGCAAAAAAAGTCTCTTTTTGTGTTGTAGAAACTGATGAACATTTTTTAAGCTTTTTTGAAGCTGCGTGTTGAATAATATCAAATTTGCCTTTATTAATTATAGAAACTGTTGTATTGCATATAGTGCAGAAAAAGCTATGTTGATCACTTTTCACTTTTTTGGCAAATGCAAAGGTTTCTTCAAATATATCCAAAAATTTGCTCTTCCCTCTAGACATTTTCATAAAAACTTGATTGCTATGCATCCACAATCAAATTATTGTCTTAAAAGTTGAGTTGCTTTTGACAGAACAGTAACGACAAAAATCTGTTTAAACTTCGGCGCAAAAAGTTAAGACTTTACCTCATTTACCACAAAATTTGTTATTTTCTTTTAAATAAGAAAGTTTTTGCTCAATAAAAAAAAAATATATTCATCATAAAAAAAAAAAGTATATTAAAGGATTTAAAAAAAAAAGAGAGAGTATGAAAGGTTTTACTTCAAAAAGAGTATAATACTCTAAAAAAGAGTATGTCTGGTCAGCCTAGTATATATATATATATATATATATATATATATATATATATATATATATATATATATATATATATATATATATATATATATGTATATATATATATTGTATATATATTGTATATATATATATATATATATATATATATATATATACATATATATATATATATATATATATATATATATATATATATATATAAAATATATATTATATATTTATATATATATATATATATATATATATATATATATATATATATATATATATATATATATACACACATATATATACATATATATTATATGTATATATATATATATATATGTCATATATATATATATATATATATATATATATATATATATATATATATATATATATATATATATATATATATATATATATATATATATATATATATATATATATAAATTTATTTATGAGGGTGTGACAGTTGCCCCAACTTTGTTATTGAAGATGTTCATAATTTTGGTATTGTATTTAAGCAAAAATATGACATTTCCAAAGTTTTTTTGAAGGTTCATCCTCAATAAATGAGCTCTGGCAGATTGAAAATATGAAACATATCCAAAAAATTATTATTTTTCTTTATGTTACATTCTAATACCATGATGGGGCTCAGAAAAATAAATAAGCTGGTCTCTTATTAAAATTCATTTAAAATACAGCCATATAGAGTACAAGATGATAAGAATTAGTTTATTCACAGGGTTTTATAAAGTATAATAGTGCCAAATAAAGTTACTTGTTTAGACTTATTGTTAGACAAATAAAGTTACTTATGGTTAGACTTAAATTAATATAAAATCTCATTTACAAAAACCCTTCAAACAGTGTTTTGTTTAAAGTATATAATTTGTATAAAGATATCATACAAAATGCATAAACATATCATAAAAATATATACCATATGCTTAAGATTTTCTTGTCTTATAATTTTTCTTCTAGAGCACTTAAATTCTTTACTGCTTTTAGTAGCAATGACACTCTGTCAGGCAAATCATTATTGGCATATCTTTGTTACCCATTTTAATTATGCTCAAAATTTAATTTGATGTATTTTGTAGTTCACAGTTGCACTTCAATGCTTGTCAATTGTGCCAATAATACCTGCATATCTTTAGGGGATACAATTTTATATGCAAACAATAAAGTCAATAATATTCTTAAGAAACTATACAAATTACATTAAAACATTTAGAATTTATGAAAGTAAATACAACATTCACTAATAAAGCAAAGAAAATTAAAGACAGAAGAGCAAATTTTTAATGATAAAAATGTATACTTGCTAATGGATTCATAATATTTTTATGAATTATGGAATTTGCTTTTATTCTGAATATTAATAATAATAAAACTTTTAAAAATACTATCATCTATAAAAATATTGTATCATTATTAAAAATATTACCTTAGCCTATTAGATAAATCTAAATAAATGTTTATATAATGAATAATAATGAACTATTGGCAACTGTTAAAACTTTAAACTCATACAAATATTATTTTTTCTTTCCTAAGAGTTGATTTCAAATGGATTTCAAAGTTGGTGTAAGCTTTGATATGTTGATTATTGTACAATAAAATGTTTTTTTTTTTTTTTTTTTTTTTTTTATTTGCATTCACTCCCAACAAGGCTGCAAGCAACCACTATTAAGTTGGGAGTTACTAGGAAAAAAAAAAAGAACAGAGTTATAGAGCAAGGAAACGGTTGACAGAAGACTTGGAAAGTTGAAGGTTGTATGAATCAAGAAAACATGAAGATGGGAGAGAGTTCCAAAGAATTGAAGTGCGGGGAAAAAAACTAGATGAATAAAAGTTTTTAGAGCATGCAGGGACAGATACAGTAAACAAATGAGACTTAGCTGAATGACGAGTAAAACGAGAATGAATTTTAGTTGATGGAACTAGAGATGATAACCTCTTTTTAGCAGTGACCATGATAGTATTTGTAGAAAAGAGAAAGAGATGCAACTTTACGACGATGGGAAAGAGGTTCAAGCTTAGCAGATAGTCCAGGTCCAACAACATTTACAATGCGATTTTGGACCTTGTCAAGAAGAGAAAGTGAATCGTTAGAAGAACCAGCCTAAATATGACAACAGTATTCCATACAGGGACGAATAAGAGATTTGTAGAGGTAGAGAATGGAATCAGAAGTAAGGAAATGGCGAGCACGATAAAGAGAAGCAACCTTAGCAGAAGCTAATTTAGCAATCGATTGTATATATGGTTTCCATGAAAGGTCAGTAGTAAGCGATAATCCGAGAAGACGTAAAGAGGACGACTCAGTAAGAGGATTGCCATTCATTAATATAGGAATGTTGACCATATTACGGTAATTGTTTGCAGTAAGCAATTGGGTTTTTTTAGAGTTGAAACTCACAAGCCACTGTGAACCCCAATCTACCACCGAAGTGAGATCAGATTCAAGATCAGCTGCTTGTTCTAGGCGATCGAAAAGAGAAG